AGAGAGACTGGACAGCCCACAGACACACTGACCCCCCAGGAGAGAGACTGGACAGCCCTGGTTTAGAGAGCTGCTGCCCTGTTCTCGGTTACTGAGCAAACGCTGTTGTCCGGTGTTGGGGGGCAGGGACACAGGTGGACCGGCTGAAGATGAATTTGGGAGAACTGACGCGCAGGGTTGACGCCGAGTCGTAGAGCGACGCGGGGGCGGAAACTGCAGCCGGGACACAGCCGGTCCTGCGACCTTGCTTAGTGACCCGAGGTCGCGTTCAAAAGCAAAAGCGAAACGTCGCTCAGACTCCGGAGTTAGAGACCTTAGTGGCCTCCACGGACTGCCCGACAGCCGGACATGCCCACAAAAGTGACGGAAACGGTACTTCATCACCGCTGTCTTCGCGCAGTTACAGTATATGAGTGCTGTCCTGTGTTATTGGTCACATTCAGGGACGCCTCTCGGATGGTGGTCTTCCGAGGGTCCGCGGCCAGCTGACGGGGGGTCAGAGTATTTATTTATGAACTTCGCCTCCCCCCCCCCAAACTAAGAGCAGGAACAAACCCCTTTATACAGGACCCCAGCGCCGGGTCGGGTTGAAAACCTGAAACCATAACTTTTTTGTAGCTGTTTTTAAGGTGGTGTTTTTTCCGAGCGAGGGCTGACATCACGTCCTCTCGCGTCATGCACTGCGCTCACCGTGTGGACACCCGTCTGTGCCGCTTGGCGTGTAAATCCGACCTCGGCTGCCTGCGGTGGCGAGCGATTTGACAGTTTCGCAGATTTATTAGTGGTGAGGCACGTAAAATCGTGTTCCGAGGTCGCGTACTTCCTTGCGACACACTCTGTGCTGAAAAGCGAGCCGCCGTGCGGGACTGACCGGGTTTCGCTGCGGCCGCAGAAGGATGTTCTCACCTGAACCGTCAGGGCTCGTCATGACCTCCTCGGCCCGCCGTCCTCCTCCCCGGCGGCTCTCTGCTGCTTCACTGAGACCGTAACGGGGATCTCCGCCGTGTTTCCGAGCCCCGGCCGCAGAGCCCGTCTGCAACAGCCCCGCAGACAGCGGTCCGCCGCTACCAGGCGTACAGCGCTTTGGCGCCGCCGTGTGGTCACTCGCTGTATTGCACGACCCCCTCCCCCGGCAGACATGTTGCTCTTGTATGTGTTAAATATCGTTGAAGAAGTTCAAGTAGGCAGCTGCGTCGGCAAAGGAACAGGTGGAGGTTTATTTGGTGCCGACACACCCGAAGAAGCCGAAACGTTGTGTTTCCTTTCTCCTCTTTTCAGCCCCGGAATCAGCGTTTATCCTGTTCCTAAATCAAAACACGTCCGCTTTGAAACTAAGAAGTAACGCAATTGGATTGTGGGGAGGCAACGACAAAATCCGTAGTATAAAATCGCCGAGAATGTTATTCGTACTTTCAAGGACAACATCTGCTGTACATTCCAGACCTGTGGAGTCTCAGGATGAGCTTTTCTGGCAAACAGCATGAATATTGTTCATAATTCCTCTCTTAACAGCCTCATTAGGAGGAAGCCCGTTACTTCAGGCTTTGAAAGAAGGTTCTTATGTTAGTTTAGGAGACCTTTAAAGCCCTTTGGGTAACTGCCACCTAAGAGGAGATATTCCCGATATTCCACAATGCAATTTAGCACGGACACTCTAACCCTGAACATGTGCCCGATTCACTTCGGTGAGGTAAATATGAGGAACAGTCCTATGGGTTCCTGTAATAAAAATATAATCCTATCATCCACAGAAAACTGTCCCTTAATCCTGTGATTAATGGGTTGGAGTGACCCAGTGACCCCAGACAGAGGAAGAGCTCCAGTATCACGTGACAGTGTTCAGGAATGTCACTTTATTACCAAAAACACCAGATAGACATGACATTGGATGACATGATTGCGTTATTATAATAATCACTGAGCAGATGCCCTTATCCCAGGTGATTTAGAATAGATTTATGTAATTGAATTCAACTGGCCTTGTACTATATATATATGAAATTTACACAGACTTTCTTAAATTTACTTAAACTTCCTCCACTTGAATGGGCTCCTCCTTGTCCCTGATGAGAGCATCAAGACTCCAATCAGAAATACTGACACTGCTCCTATCATAGCTCCTACTGCTGCTCCCTTTCGTCCTGCTGGTGTACAAGCCCCTATCCCAGCTCCTACTGCAGTTACTAGTACAGTCACCATAATGATTCGCCCCAGTCCTGTGTATCTGCCCTCTCTCTGCTCTCTGAGCACTTCATAGTGGGAGTACTTGTTCTGAGTGACCATGAGATCTACCTTCTCCAACAGCTCCCTGACCTGAGAGCCGTCTCCCCTGTCAGTGTTGTTGAAGAGGTGACACCTGTCCCCACATTTCTGAATGATGCTCTGCAGGTTCCCATCCTGCTGGACAAACTCCTGGAGACTCCTGCCTCTCAGCCTGTCTCCGTGAGTGAAGAGGACCACCGTGTGCCGGCTCACCCCCTCTCCCAGCAGCTCCTGCAGGGTCTCCACTGCTCTCTTCTCCTGCTGGGAGAAGCGGCCCAGCTGGATGACCAGGAGGACAGCGTGGGGTCCAGGGGCCGACAGCTGGACAGCTCTCTGGATCTCTCCTCTCAGATCCTTGTCAGAGAGCTCAGTGTTGAACAGGCCTGGGGTGTCGACCACAGTGACTCTTCTCCCACACACCTCTCCCTGTGCCTCCTGGCTCCTCAGAGTGAGTGAGGAGGGGCTGGTCTCTGATCTGAACTCCTCTCTGCCCAGGATAATATAGGAACTGTGTCACATGCAGTACTGTACATAAGAGAAAATAGACAAATTCAATATGCTAACGCCATTAGGAAAATCATTTGACTATTAGGATTATAACTAGAAAACTTTGGCTAGAATATTAATCTCTTTCTTCTAAGTGGAAAAGGGAGAGTTGAATTACCTATAAGAAGTTTATTATGAGTTTTTAGATGGATAATAGAAGGGTGAAAATGCCACGTTGTAACAAACTCAGAGTCTAAGGGAGCAGCAGTAGACAATAATCTTGAAGCTTACATAGAGAGGCTGTCCATGTATCACCTATTGGTACAGAAACATGTTGGTTTACCTAACTCTGAAAGCAACAACAGAACTGGCTAATGTATCAATTGAGACAGCCTCAGCGGCTCACAGGTAGTGGCTGGCAGGTAGATAGTCAGCACATCTCCTGCACAGATGTGTCCACTGCTGGGCTGAGTGGTGCCGTGTCTACATGCTGAGTGATGGGTAGGAGTGTTGAGGAAGCAGGGTATTCTCCAGCACTGATAGGGCACTCTCTGTTTCAGGGGTGGGGAGCTCAAAGTCCTCAGAGGCCTCTGGTGCTCAGTCCAGCCCTGATACCAATGACATAATTGAACTAATTTGACAAAAATGTCAAACGTGTTGTTGATTTAGATCTTAATCTGTTGTTAATTGGAAGATACATGTGAAACCTGCTGAGATCTGTCCCTGTGGCCTGGGGTTTCCATCCCTGATCTATTTATTCTTCAGGTCTCAGGTCGTTAGGGTTAGCATTGGGAAGCCATGGGCTGTGTGAACTGTGTGTCTTTGTGAGACAGGTGGGAACTGGCAAACCAGGCAAAAACACATTCAAACAAGGAAAAACATGCAAACTCCACACGGATAGGTACAATCCCAGACCTCTGGAGCTGTTGGGCTTACTGCCACACCCAGGTTCATAGTGTAAAGACAACAGGGACAATGTTTTTCCTGCTCTCTGTGTACTGTAGGGACAGACTCCTGTGTCAGCTCAATTTCTCTCCCAGCTGAGATGCGAATTGTCTTCAAGGAACTCCCCAAGGAAGACCAGTGCCCTGCAGGAACAGACACCTCCGTCCGCCTACTGCGTCACCCCACTATTACAACTACCCCAGGAGGCTCCTGCTGATCCTGCAGGGAGCTCTGAAACATGACTGAGGTTTAAGTGTCTTTACTGAGTGTGCAGTAAGCACAGAGAGACACGAGAGATGCAGTACTGTACAGAATACTGTAGACAAACGCTGACAGCAGTACTGATAACAAGACCTGTAACCCACAGCAGTGCTGACTTAGAGTCAGCATCTGGGAGGAGCAGACTGAGCACAGACAGCCTCTGGGTGAGTCAAGGTTCTGTTTACTTGTGTTCTGGAAGGACAGTTCAGGATTCTCTCAATACAAGCAGCTGAAACAGCTCAGCAACCTAAAACATTGTAAAAACAGTTTGAGGGATCAAACATTTATTTCTCTTATTTCACTAGTTTGCTGGTACTTTGTAAATAATTTATTAACATAATTTACTAACTATCCTGCTAGAATAATGGAAAATGACTAACTGTGACTTAAGTGTGAGCTGGCTACGTGCCTGGAACGTGAGGGCAGAGCCAGCCTCAGGCTGCCTGACCAGAACTGAGAGAGACTGATAACTGCTAAAGCCATGATGAACAAATTCTACGTCTGCTTAAATACTGATTAAAGGAACCCGAGAATATTCTTACAGTTTATCACGCACCTAGGCTTTACACCATACAGTATATGGCATGGAATTGTACTGGAGCTGTTCTGGGTGGGTTTTCTGTTTGTCATTTTGTGTAAAAAGCCTCCTTTTGTATCAATGAGTGGAGTCAGTGCTTCATCAGCTTTGGCTCCAGTGTGCACAAGTACTAAAGGAAATGCCTGCTTCACACACACCCGGATCATGTCTTCTCTGTTGGACACACAAAGTTCAAAATAATTCTATTTGGTCAGTAACAACTAGGATTTCTTATTAAACAAATCTTTTATTTATGAATTAACAATTCGTCCACACATTTGAGTTACAAGATTCTCAGCCTTAAATCATAAAAACAGCTCAAAACTAAGATGACCAGCACCTCAACTGCAGGAGTGACAGAAGTACAGCTCCTGATTACATTATAAGCAGCTCCTTTAATATACTGTACAAGCACACACACTCCTCAGGGGCTGGCGGGGGTCAGTCAATGGACTGGATCTGCCCTGGAGATTGCAGACTCTCCACTTCAGACTGAAAGCCTGTGTTCAACGTGAAGGTATGATATTTTATTGTTCTATTTTTATTGTTGTTTATTTTTATTTTGCTTGTTATTGCTGTCTGTGCATCCAACCCTTCAGGTTGTCTTTGTGTAGACAGGGGTATTTTGATTTTTTCTGTTCTGTGTTCCTAAGGTGTATTTCCACCTTGATGACTGAAGACTCTTCCTGGATCTGTTGCCTCAGTCCCTGATCCATCACACCTGCTCTCACTGCATTCGGCATTCCTCCAGTATTTCATCCTTAAACTTCAACAATCCTCCTAAACCCACAGCTGCTCCCCCCACTGTGCCCGCCCCTGTCACCCCCACTCCTAGTCCTAGTCCTAATTTTGCTCCTATTGCAAATCCTATTGGTCCACCCACTGCTGCTCCCAGTACTGTTCCTATGGTTGCTCCTCCTAATATAAAACATTTCTTTATAAATTCATTATTTCTCTCTGCTTTATCTCTGGCTCTTCTCTCCTCCTGTCTCCTGAGCTCTCTCTTCTTCTTCTCCAGCTCCTCTCCCCTGTATTCCCTCTCCAGCTCCTCCTCTTGTCTGCGGATCTCCGGCTCTCTCTCCCTCAGGATCCTCTCCTGTTCCTTCCTGATCGCGCTCTCAGCCTTTGGATACAGGTCATTGGTGAAACAGCCTCCTCCATTACACACCACCATCCTGTTTATCTTCTCCAGCAGCTCTGTCACCTGACTGGGGTTCTCTGGATTCTTATTGTTAAACACATGATAACGACCCCCACAGTGACTGACAAACTGATTAAGATCAGCACTCCTACTGAGAAACACTTCAATACTCTGACTCCCCAGTCGATCCCCCTGTGTGAAGAGCACCATGGTGTAATGTGCTGCTGTCTCTCCAAAGGTCTTCTGGATCAGCTCCACTGTCTTCTTCTCCTCCTGTGTGAATCTGCCCAGCTGGATGACCACCAGGAACACATGGGGTCCCGGGGAGGTCAGACAGATGGAGCTCAGGATCTCACGTAAAGTTTCCTTGTTAGAGAGGTGTGTGTCAAACAGGCCTGGAGTGTCGATCACAGCAACACGCCTCCCAGACACCTCTCCTGTCCTCTTCTCACACTGCTGTGTTACTGTGGAGGGAGAGGGCTCAGATGTGAACGCCTCTCTCCCCAGGATGGTGTTTCCTGCTGCACTCTTCCCCACTCCAGTCTTCCCCAGCAGGATGATCCTGATCTCTGTTGAATCTTCCTCTCCTGCTGAATAACAAGTAAACTGTGGTTATGTATTTGATGTAAGTCAAACAGAAACCTCAGATGAAATAACACATCAAAGTTAATCAGGGTCATGATACAGAGACATGCCTCAGTCTTCATCTTTAGAACAGGAACACTGTGGAGGAAAAGAGTCTCTCACACTGTTTCTCAGTGTTTGATAATGATTGACTGATACAGCACAGAGCACTGCAGCAGGTCAGCACTGAGAGCACAGAGCCCTACAGCAGGTCAGGACTGAGAGCACAGAGCACTGCAGCAGATCTAGACTGAGAGCACAGAGCACTGC